TAGTTCAAACCAGCGCTACCATTCGCCACTGCCAGATCATTAACCCTTAAACTGCCGCACAGTTCTCTGCCTTTAGCCAGCTTTCTGTCCCCGCTGATCTCACTCCCTTGGATGCAGAGGTCCTCAACTCCTGGTTTAAATCTTCCTGCCAAACTATGCTGAAATCTGTGGCACCATTAAAAACTGGGTAGCCTAAGACTGAAACTTAGCCTTGGTTTAATGACACCACTTGGGCTGTGAGGAGGGAGTATCGTAGAGCTGAATACAGATAGAACATTTTACTGTCTCATTTACACCATCACCAGCATTGAACTGGCTTAGGTCTTATCTGTCTGATAGAATTTTTAGTGGTAGTTACCACTAAAAATTTGTGGTAGGAGTCCTTTTCTGCTGCTCTTCAGTTTGGGGTCCCGCAGGGCTCAATTCTAGGGCATCTGCGTTTTTCATTGTATTTACAACCCTTGAGAGCAAACCTTAGAGAGCATGGAATGTGCTTCTACTGTTATGCCGACAACTGTCAGATTTATCTGCCTCGGAAGCAGAAAGATCTTTCTCTATTAAACCCCTTCAAGCAAAACAGAGGTGATCATGTTTGGTCCTAGAAGACCTTATGGTTCTTCCTCCATTGATTCGGGACTCCTGGCAGAGTAATTACAACTTGTTGTTACTAACTTGGGTTCTAAAGTGGACAGTGATTTTATATTGGACACAAAAATTAGGGCTACTGTAAAGTCCACTTTTTATCATTTAAGGCGCTTGACAAAAGGTAAGACCAATTTTATCCAGGCTGGATTCTGAAACAGTAATCTATGCTTTTATTTAATCTCGTTAGGATTGCTGTAATACTCTGTATTTTTGGAGTTAGTCAGTGTCTTCTCAATCTTCTACAGCTAGTCCAAAATGCTGCTGCACGACTTTTAACCAGAACTCGCAAAAGAAAGAAAAGGAAGAAAGCCCATCCTGGCTTTACTCCATTGGCTGCCTGTATATCTTAGAGTTCATTTTAAAAGTCTAATGTTTGTTTTTAAACACTAAACAGTCTTGACCCACCTTAACTCTCTGAGCTTCTTCATCCTTATTCACCCCCAGGTTTCTCAGGTCAGGTGACAATCTGCTCTTGGAGCTACCCAGGTCCAAGAGGAAGCTCAGAGGGGACAGGATCTTCTCTATCGCTGGTCCTAACCTCTGGAATAACCTGCCCCTGCACATTAGAGAGGCTCCTTCATTGTCCATTTTTAAAACACATCTTAAAACCAATTTTTATTCCTTGACACAGTTTGACCCTGATTTTACTGCTTTGATTTAATCTAATGTGCTGATTTTATTATTTTAATCTAATCAATGTTTTTAATTTAAGATTTATTTATTTTTTTTATTTAATTGTCGGGGGTTTTTTTGTTTTGGTTTTTTTTGGGTTTTTTTTTTTTGTCATGTTAAGTGTACAGGACTTTGTAGTTGTCTGGAAGTGCTATATAAATATTTTTTTTCCGTGCTTGCTAACAGGTAAACTCAAAAATCAGTTTTATTCCTTGTTATCTGTTGACCACCTATTCCTTACAGAGTTTCTGTCTGATTTTCAGACTATTTTTAATCTGATTCAGGGCTTCGCTCAGATAAAATATTTATTGTCTGAGATTTTAACATCCATGTAGATACTGAAAATGACAGCATTAACACTGCATTTTAAGCTATTATTAGACCCATTATGGGAAGGCCTCTTCTCTTAAAATGTTTAAGAACCCACCAAAACTTTAATCCTCCTTTAGTTATGCTGCATTAGGTCTAGGGTGCTGGGTCATTCCCGTAATGCATATTTTTTTCCACTTACCTTGTTTTTCAATCACTATGTGTTTATACACAACTTTGCATTTAATTATTAGCTATTATTCAGTTCTGGATCTCTTCCACAACAGTTATAGTATTCTGTAAACATTATTAGCCTGATAAAAGCCCCTTTCTGATAAGCTAGACCACCCCTAGACCACCTTTTTACTGTCATACTTTTAGTTAACATATTTTGTTTTGCACTACGCATATTTTATATGTCATTACAACATTTATTGTGGAAATTCTCATGTAGGAACTATTGTACTGCATGTTGGTTCCCCTGGTGCCCCTGAGTGAGATGCACACCCATGTTGAAGTATGAGGATGGCAAGCTTAATGGCAACCCCAAGTTTGTACAACTCACATTAAAGCACAGGTGAAAGTGGTAGTTGAACTCGGACCTGCATGATTCCCGGCCCCCTGGTGGCAATATTGTGTCACTGCACCAAGGACCAGCCCGCTGCAAATAATAATGGACACACAGGTTCACCAGTTGTTTCTTCATAAAGATATCCGGAAGCCAATCGTTAAAGTTCTGTTTGGAAAAGTGACACAAGGAGAGAGAAACAATAAGAAACTGTGTGAAGCCTGACAACAACAGCGCCAAACGGTAACAAGAAGGGAATTAATGCAATCAAGTTCATAATTCATTTCTAAAGTCAAGTTAAAAGGAGATTAAGAAATAAGTGCATAACATTTCAAGAAAAACAAAAATGTCACAAACAAATGAAACAGAAATTGAAGTTTCCAGTGCAGAACAAGCTGCAGAAGCAGAGCAAGTGGATGAAACCTGTTTAGAGCAAAGAGTGAAAGTAGAGCAGCATAGAAGTGAAAGGCCTCACATGCTCACAGAAAACGGAAAAGAATTCCATAAAGAAAGGTTACAATGGCTTCAACACTGCTTTGACAGTATTTATGACTGTCAAAGCAGTCTGTTTTAAAAGGAGATCTACTTGACATTCTTGAAGGTCACATGAACATTGTACAAAGAGAAGTAGCCAAGCTTAATGATATTTATGATGACTATAGAGCAATGGATGGACCCTCTCATGATATGCATTCCAAGCTATACAAAATCCACCTCAGTGACTACAGTAATTTTACAAAACATCAAAGTTCACACTGAAGGAGAAAAGCAAGAGGAGAATGTATGGCCTGATGCCAGCTGTATATTTACATCCTCTTGCTCTGTTAGTGTCTCAGTTCATAGCCAGTTTAAAGCTAATAGAGTTATCTCTAATGCCTCCTCCACCAAAAGACAAGAAGCTGCAGCGCAGTATGAAGCCACAAAGGCTTTGCTTCAGATTAAGACTGAATAAGAGAAATACAGAGAAAGAGTACAATTGCGTGAAGAAGAAAAGAAACGCTTTACTACAGGACTAGATGCTGCTGCAATGTCACAATGCCTCCTAGAGGAGAAGGAGGAAACTGAGGCATGTTAAAAGAGAAAAGAAGAAAGCAGCTGTGATAAAGAGACAACAAGAGGGAAGTGCTGCATTAAGAAAGTCATTTGAGGACTTGAAAAGAGAAATTGAAAGATGGAAAATCTGAAAGGATTCAAGGCAGCAAAAGCAAAACTACAAGTTTACGAGGAAGGTTACATTTCAGTGAAGCAAGAAAGAGTCACTCCTGCAACTGCCCCTGCAAATGTACAGGTAACAGTGTTCAACAATGCTACTAATCAACCCTCACAACAACAAACAGAGTTAAACATGACTCATTGGAGCGCAGGTGAGCTTGTAAAGGTTTTGGCAGAAGCAATGTCAGCTAATAGACTACCTATTCCAGAGCCCTCTGTATTTAGTGGGCATTCACTTAAGTCTAAGCATTGGAAAGCATCTTTTCAGACTCCAATGTTGTGAAGGAACATTTCCACTGCAGAAAAGATATTTGTCTTACAGAAGTATGTTGGCAGCTGTGTTAAAGAAGCCTTAGATGGGTATTTTCTGATTGGCTCTGAATATCCATATGAGGCAGCATGAACGTTATGGAGAGCCTTTTGTCAATAGCTAACGCCTTTAGGGACAATTTACACTCTTGGCCAAAGGTCACAGGAAAAGATGTATTGCATGTAATCCCATTACATCATACCAAGCCATAAGACAAAGTGACTTTAACAAATCAAACACAAAACCTCAACCTAGTATCTGTAAAATGCTCATTTCTGCCTCTAAGCATGGGTCAGTTGGTGAGGTATGTTTTATATGTTATATAGATAATTTTATGTCTCTATTTTACCCATTTTACTATTGTTGTTTTATGTTGTTAATTGTATGTTGTGTTTTAGCTCAATCAGCTTGTGATCAAGGTCATGCTTTAACAATATCATCCCCATGATCCTGATCACCAGTGACAAGGTAACTGAAACCAGATAATGTAATGATACCCTCGGTATGTTGAATTTGCTCTGTAGCATACGGCACTAGTCTTTACTCCAGCCACCTTCATTTGCTGTTTGCTACTGCTTTAAGACAGCCTTCAGTGACTAACTTGAGTATTTAAGACTATCTTATTAGTTAGCCTAGGGAAACGTTTAGGTTGCATTGGGTCATTATCCATTTGCACCGTCAAGCACCATCTGAATAGTTTTGTAGCATTTAGCTGAATCTGAGAAGACAGGAGCTGATTAACAGTAACAACATTTGAAGTGAGTTATGAGAACCACTGAGTCTGGGTCTGGTAGCTTCTCCTCTTTGAAAGGAGATCTTAGAGTTAAGCTTCAGTGAAAAAACTTTCTATTAAATTAACCTCAAAGATGAGGTTGTTATGAAAGAGCATTAGGGCCACTGGCAAACAAAATTTGTGTGAGTCTTTTGTTTGGGGTTTTTGTTGTTGTTTGTTTGTTTGTTTGTTTGTTTGTTTGTTTTCCAGAATTCTAAGGGGAAAAAAGCCAGAATTCTCCGTGTCCAATCCAGTTGAAGAAACAGATTTTTTTTCAGGATTCTGGAAATACAACAACAACAAACAAATAGAAATGATTCCCCCACTTTTTTGTCAGCACCCTTAATCCTCTTACGTAGGTGTTGAGTGCACTTCCTGCCGAGAAAGTGAAAGGTTATGGATTTCGGCTTTGCGGATTTTTATAGAAGAATATATAAAAATGTTTAATGCATTGTGGTTATGCGTTACGAATTTCAGTTTAGGTTTTTCCGACAAACTCAAAGTCAGCATTTTGTTTATGGTTACCATAGTAACATGGCGAGGTGCGACGGGACTTCACGTCGGACACGTTTATGAAAGGAAATAGAGCGATTTTTTTTAATCAAAGCACAACCTTCTGGCTCTTCTAAAAACAGGTGAATCAAACAGTGAGCTCAGTTGTCCCAAAAATGCCTCTGGTCGTGATGGACTACGTCTGGACCCAGACGGAGACGACGCTTTACATTAATGTGCCTCTAAAAGGAACGAATGCCGGGAAGGTAGACATTGTCTGTACGGACGATTACCTCAAGGTAAAGTTCTGAATAAAGGAGTTTTGTATTTTTACTGTTTGTGTATCAAATACTATATCTATGGGACTCGTCTCAGTCAGAGACTAAGCTGGACTGCATAGCATTTTTTTTCTTGTGTCACACAGAATTGAGACATATTGAAACGATGTACGGCAGTTTGATCAAGTTTGTGAGCAGCAGCCAACTCAGCTGCCGTATATATTTTCGAGCGCTTTTATCAATGCTTTTGTTGCCATCTACGTGAAAAGGAAAAGAAGGAAAAGAAATATATAAATATAAATTGACATGACATATTAAGCTTTCTGCATGAGTTTTTCCAAATGCATCATTAAAGCCCCCCTCCCAACCGGATATTTTTCTACCGTCCCCCTCTGTCTGCATAAAAGCAGTGTCGGAACACACTGTACCATACCCTCGAGAAAAAGGCAATTAACAATGGAAGAGAGACAGACCATCATAACACTTAAAAATGTAGGTCTTTCCTATAGAGAAATTGCAAGAAAGTCAAAGTGTCACTGAGTACAGTTTCCTTCACCATCAAATAGCATTTAAAAACTGGGGCACACTCTGATAGGAATAGGTCTGGCAGACCCAAAGCCACAACTGAACCAGAGGACAAGTTTCTGAGAGTTAACAGCTTGCGTGATAGGCGGCTCACAGGACAACAGCTTCAAGCACAGCTTAATAGTGGTTGTAGTAAACAAGTCTTAATTTCAACTGAGAAGAGAAGAGTTCAAGCTGCAGGTTTGACGGACGAGTTGCAGCAAGAAAAAGCCATTGCTAAGACGTCAGAATAAGACAAATATACTTTATATATAATATGTATATATATATATATATATATATATATATAATATATACAGGGAGTGCAGAATTATTAGGCAAATGAGTATTTTGTCCACATCATCCTCTTCATGCATGTTGTCTTACTCCAAGCTGTATAGGCTCGAAAGCCTACTACCAATTAAGCATATTAGGTGATGTGCATCTCTGTAATGAGAAGGGGTGTGGTCTAATGACATCAACACCCTATATCAGGTGTGCATAATTATTAGGCAACGTCCTTTCCTTTGGCAAAATGGGTCAAAAGAAGGACTTGACAGGCTCAGAAAAGTCAAAAATAGTGAGATATCTTGCAGAGGGATGCAGCAGTCTCAAAATTGCAAAGCTTCTGAAGCGTGATCATCGAACAATCAAGCGTTTCATTCAAAATAGTCAACAGGGTCGCAAGAAGCGTGTGGAAAAACCAAGGCGCAAAATAACTGCCCATGAACTGAGAAAAGTCAAGCGTGCAGCTGCCAAGATGCCACTTGCCACCAGTTTGGCCATATTTCAGAGCTGCAACATCACTGGAGTGCCCAAAAGCACAAGGTGTGCAATACTCAGAGACATGGCCAAGTAAGAAAGGCTGAAAGACGACCACCACTGAACAAGACACACAAGCTGAAACGTCAAGACTGGGCCAAGAAATATCTCAAGACTGGTTTTTCTAAGGTTTTATGGACTGATGAAATGAGAGTGAGTCTTGATGGGCCAGATGGATGGGCCCGTGGCTGGATTGGTAAAGGGCAGAGAGCTCCAGTCCGACTCAGACGCCAGCAAGGTGGAGGTGGAGTACTGGTTTGGGCTGGTATCATCAAAGATGAGCTTGTGGGGCCTTTTCGGGTTGAGGATGGAGTCAAGCTCAACTCCCAGTCCTACTGCCAGTTTCTGGAAGACACCTTCTTCAAGCAGTGGTACAGGAAGAAGTCTGCATCCTTCAAGAAAAACATGATTTTCATGCAGGACAATGCTCCATCACACGCGTCCAAGTACTCCACAGCGTGGCTGGCAAGAAAGGGTATAAAAGAAGAAAAACTAATGACATGGCCTCCTTGTTCACCTGATCTGAACCCCATTGAGAACCTGTGGTCCATCATCAAATGTGAGATTTACAAGGAGGGAAAACAGTACACCTCTCTGAACAGTGTCTGGGAGGCTGTGGTTGCTGCTGCACGCAATGTTGATGGTGAACAGATCAAAACACTGACAGAATCCATGGATGGCAGGCTTTTGAGTGTCCTTGCAAAGAAAGGTGGCTATATTGGTCGCTGATTTGTTTTTGTTTTGTTTTTGAATGTCAGAAATGTATATTTGTGAATGTGGAGATGTTATATTGGTTCACTGGTAAAAATAAATAATTGAAATGGGTATATATTTGTTTTTTGTTAAGTTGCCTAATAATTATGCACAGTAATAGTCACCTGCACACACAGATATCCCCCTAAAATAGCTAAAACTAAAAACAAACTAAAAACTACTTCCAAAAACATTCAGCTTTGATATTAATGAGTTTTTTGGGTTCATTGAGAACATGGTTGTTGTTCAATAATAAAATTATTCCTCAAAAATACAACTTGCCTAATAATTCTGCACTCCCTGTACAGTGGGGCAAAAAAGTATTTAGTCAGCCACCGATTGTGCAAGTTCCCCCACTAAAATGATGACAGAGGTCAGTAATTTGCACCAGAGGTACACTTCAACTGTGAGAGACAGAATGTGAAAAAACAAATCCATGAATCCACATGGTAGGATTTGTAAAGAATTTATTCGTAAATCAGGGTGGAAAATAAGTATTTGGTCAATAACAAAAATACAACTCAATACTTTGTAACATAACCTTTGTTGGCAATAACAGAGGTCAAACGTTTACTATAGGTCTTTACCAGGTTTGCACACACAGTAGCTGGTATTTTGGCCCATTCCTCCATGCAGATCTTCTCGAGAGCAGTGATGTTTTGGGGCTGTCGCCGAGCAACCGGAGCCCAGATCGAGGGAGATTATCAGTGGTCTTGTATGTCTTCCATTTTCTGATGATTGCTCCCACAGTTGATTTTTTCACACCAAGCTGCTTGCCTATTGTAGATTCACTCTTCCCAGTCTGGTGCAGGTCTACAATACTTTTCCTGGTGTCCTTCGAAAGCTCTTTGGTCTTGGCCATGGCGGAGTTTGGAGTCTGACTGTTTGAGGCTGTGGACAGGTGTCTTTTATACAGATGATGAGTTCAAACAGGTGCCATTCATACAGGTAACGAGTGGGGGACAGAAAAGCTTCTTACAGAAGACGTTACAGGTCTGTGAGAGCCAGAGATTTTCCTTGTTTGAGGTGACCAAATACTTATTTTCCACCCTATTTACAAATAAATTCTTTACAAATCCTACCATGTGGATTCATGGATTTTTTTTTCACATTCTGTCTCTCACAGTTGAAGTGTACCTCTGGTGCAAATTACTGACCTCTGTCATCATTTTAGGTGGGGGAACTTGCACAATCGGTGGCTGACTAAATACTTTTTTGCCCCACTGTATTAATTGTTTATATATATTATATATATATATATATATATATATTTATATATATATATATTATATATGTATATATATATATATTTGTTATATTATATATATATATATATATTTATTGTATATTATATATATATATGTATATATATATATGTGTATATGTATATGTATATATATATATGTATATATTATATTGTATATATGTATATATATATATATGTATATATATATATATTATATTATATGTGTATATGTGTATATATGTATATATATGTGTGTGTGTGTGTGTGTGTGTGTCTATGTATAAAAAAAATATATATCTGTACATATAAATTCAAAATTCAGTTCAAATTAATCGCTAAACAAGAACCAGAAGATGGTCTTACATTTCTCTTAACAACAATTCTTACAGTATAACATGTATTCATTCACAGGTGCATTTCCCGCCTTATCTGTTTGAAGCCTTCTTGTTTGAGCCTGTTGATGATGACAGAATCGCAGTAAGGGTTGCAAATGGATGTGCAGTCATCACTTTGCCAAAAAGGACCAACAAAGTGTGGAAGCATCTGATGATAAGTACGGGTAAGAGCTTCAACTTGTGGTCATTTCAGTAAACAACAAGGCTCTGGTCTTCTGAACCCATGATAATGTATCATAATACATTTGTACATGTGACAGTTCAAGAAGAGACAGAGTTGGTCATGCAGCAGTCCTGAAGTTTTTGATGTGGTAAGCTGGATGTTTTCCTGTGAACAGTGTCTCTTGAGGGCTTTTATCTGGCAATTACAAGCTTGTAAAATTATGTAAAATTGACTTGAAACACTTCCTGTATAAAGGCTAATTTACATCATGGAGCCCTGCTTTCATAAACTGACAAGGATATAAAACTTACTGTGTAGCTGGATTTAAAACATAAGTGCTGAAAGTTAAAGTTATCAAAACATGTTTAGCATGACATCATTGGATTCCCAATTATGCCTCGATAAGAAACATATTTATGTTTGTAGTGTGAGGCACATGTAGTAACCTGATATGTTGTTAACTGTTTGAGTGTTCTTGGGATAGAGAGACTATTTTATTGCATAAAATAGCGCTGATCGCATCAGCTGATTGCACCTCTCGGTACATCCAGCCACACAAGGAAAAAACAGTTTCTGACTCCAACTTGTCCATCCAGCGAACCACCTGTCACCTGACTCAAACAGGCTCCCCTCCACACTGTTCGGATTCATAAAATGGTTTATAAAAACGAAAATTATGGCTAACAGGTGAATTTTTCTGTCTCAGTGCAGCTAGTCCAATGAAGAAACGCTTACTGCTTAAGAGACAGAGTGAAAGTGAACAGTATATTCTTGGTTTCTTAAGATAAACATTGTTGCAGCTCGGGGCAGTACAAAGGTGGCCCCCTAAGGCCCCCTAAGGGGTCACCTTTGTACTGCCTTCCCTTGTCTTCCCTTGAGTTATTGGTTCTGTTAAAATTAGCTAACATAAACTAATGTGAGTGTATTGACTGCAACCAACCAAGAAACCTGATGATGTCATGTTCTGTACTGGCACAAGATGGCAGTAAACATTTTTTAAGAACTTAAACTCTAAGCACGTATTTCTTAAATCTAGCTACACAGGCAGTGTTAAATCTATATCAGTTTTTGAGAGTGGGGTGTAAATTAGCCTTTATACATCTGACGTTGCTATCACTTGGTATAGCTACGTCTGTCATTACGGCCATCTTTCTCTGCTTGTCTATGGCTGGTTGGTTAGCCATCACCAGTTTGTGCATCTGTTATCTCATGAGACAACAAAGATCCATGAGTTGTGGCTTTCCTAGCGGCCTCTTCATGGTTCCCATTTATCTGCGGGATTCCCAGAATCTATACTAGCTGTACATCTGTCAGTGAGTCGATGTCTTTTTCACTCCTGGCATACAGCTTGATGCCATCCATGTAGGGGATATGGCTAACGACTGCTCCATTTCGTAGTCCATGATTGACAAAGTACAAACTGTTAATGTTGAAAACAATAGTAGTGTCCATAAAAGCAATGACAAAAGCTATTATGAGTGGGGAAATGCATTACTGATTTGAGAGCTGCACTAAGAGTAGTGAGAATGTTTTCTGCTGTGAAATCAAGAAAAACTGTGATACCAACTGGTAGGCTTATTTTTTCAAACAGTGCTTGTGCATTTTTGCAGGGGTTTTGTTAGGTAAGCCATGTCATTGTTTATCTCATTTTAAGACATGCTAAGTGCCATTTTCTATTATGTCCTGATATGTAAAACCTTAGAATTGAAAAAGAATGTAGCATCTTTTTAACATGACACACATAAATATGTGTCCGTTTATATTTGCACCAGAAAAAGAGCCACACACACTTCATTGGTTAACCAGCTGGTTGATTGGTTATAAGGTTCTTCTCCTCAGATATTTTATTTGCCAGATACTTTGGTAAATATCTCATCCCCGGGATGATCGTTCTTATAGATTAATAAAAAAAAATAAAAATAAGAAATGCTAAAATTAATCACCAAATATACCAGGTGAGGTATAGGTGTGGGAGACACTGAACTAGTCACTGGAGCTCATATTAAGCTGCTATTTCTTTACCTTTAGACACTAGAGGGAGAGCATTATCCCGAGCTTTGTTTTGCTCTTCAAAATGCTTCAAATCACATCAGGAGTGTTTTAGAAGTTTGTTCCTCTGCTGATGCTCTGTGCACAGCTTCTATCAATATTGGGAATCACTGCATATTTTTCTACCCTTTCTGTGCCCTGCCTGTTCAGTATTCATAAACGTGTTGGGCACATGAAGTTACTTCAGCTTTAGTATTACTTCAGTTCAGTTGTTGATAGATATTCGCCCAGTTGCCCAACCAACCCTAGCAGGCTTTACTTGGGATTTTAATCTTAGTGAAATTACCTGATTAAATTAAGTTCATAATGTTTTTCAGATAATAAAGAAAAAATGGAGATCAGACAGGGGGCCCTGTTAAAATACCATGAAAAGCTTTCTTCAGAGTCTAGAAACAAGGCAGCAAAACAACAAGAAGAGAACAAATATGCTCTGGAGACAGTGATAAAGGTAATTTTCCACTCTGTTTAATCACCAAATTCTCCTGTTTGATCCTGAAAATAGCCTCTAGTGTTTTGTTATATTTTCCTTGAGTTCAGCTTGAAAAAGAGGAACGAGACAGTATCCAGAAGATAAAGGACGCAGAACAAGAGAAAACCACACAAGAGTTGGCTGCATGGCATTTCAGACAACAACAAAAAGCAGAGCAGGATGTCCAGCTAAAATTGCAAAATCAAAAAGCCAAAGCACGCCAAGAGACAGAGAGGCAAAAATGTGGACCTCCCAACCAAGAAAAAATGAAATTGGGTGAGTAAAAAAACCACAAATAAACAAAAAAGCAGGAAATGCAACTCTTGAGGTGACATAGGCAGCATTCACCTAGGATGTTTTGCAAGGACAGGAAAAACTATGCAAGCACATGGCGAGCCTGCAGTCCACGGAAAGGGCCTCCAACTGGGTTTGAACCCAGGACCCTCTTGCTCTGAATTAACATTGTTAACCTCAAGCCATCATTACACTTCTTTTAGGTAGCATGGTGTCATGGTTAGAGCTGTTGCCTCATAGCAAGAAGGTTCCTGGTTTGAGTCCCAGCTCCACACAGAAAGACTCCCAGGGTTTTTCTGTGTGGGGTTTGCATCTTATCCTGTGTCTGCCTTCCTCTGAGTACTTCAGCTTTACCACATAGTCCAAAAACATGTATATTAGGTTAATTGGTAATTATAAATTGGCCATGGATGTGAGGTAGGCAAAGTGCCTAAAGTGAAGCTTCATAGAATGAAAAATGGTCCAATTTTGTCTTGCAGTCTACATTGTTTTTTCCTGGTGCTTAGATTTGGCGTTATACAGGCTGATATTAATGAACATACTCCTGCTTGCAGATCAAGGAAGCAACAGTAATGCAAAGAGCAAGAAAGCCCAACATGAACTCCCTCCTCCAAGACTCAGTGGAAACATTCAAGTTACATTCACCCCAAGAATCTTTCCAACACCTCTCAGAGAGTCCAGACTTCCAGAGGAGGAGGAGGTGGGTTCTTGAATGCTGTGAAAACCAATACCACCTCCAAAAAGAATTATGGAGAATGGAGTTTCAATAACCACTTTAAGAGAGTATTTGAACAACAATAACAATACAATGGACTGTGGCTCCAGTCTAAGAGTTAGGAT